ATTAAACTTTATGGAGGCCAAGTGAACAATGGTGGCAAACTTTAGAGGGTATATGAAACCATTTAATTGCAGTGTGTTCGACTGCTTTGAGATAATGACTAAAAAATGATGAGAACCTGCCTCCATTCACAGCTGTTCTTTGATATTCATGAACAACTGTCTGGGGCGGATGTAAGCGATACCTCTCACTTTCATCTCCCTCCCCTGGCTCTTCCCCAAGTGTCTTCACGCACACAGGCTGAATAACACATCTGAGACAGGGTGCCCCGCCATAAGCATCGATTTTGCATGCCTGAAAAGGCCGCGATAATGCCTGTGCATAATTGATGAACTTATTGAACACTGAAATACTTCATTTAGATTTATATCAATAGTGAGGGAAATAGTTAAGAGGAGGAGGCCTGTAAATGAGGGTAAAGAGGGAAAAAAGATGACTTGTTGAATGAGAAAACTAAAGCTTGATTTGTTCTCTTTATCTTTCAATATTTCACCTTATTTGTTCAGTTTTCTACACTTTTATACTTTCACATGCTAACTCTATAACTCCATGACAGTCTTTCCTCTTGTGGCAGCATTTACACATCTGGATGATTAATTCGTCCCCATTAATGAGCCTAGCTTTGATGCTGATGTTCCTGGGAGGTCTCAACATCTGTCTACACTTCAAACAACATCTGCAGACAAGAAAAACAACAGAGCCAGAGGAGGGAGCTCTCCGCCGACCTCCAGTAACCTTATTTTGCATCACCCGCGTTTCATCAGCGAGCGCCGTCTCGTATTGAGTGCAGTGTGATCAGCGGCGGCGAGATGGGAGTTGACAATCATCGATCCTCATCACTTAAATCACAGTGTCTGTTATACCTGGCAAAGAAGCATCGTGGATAAAAGTCAAAGGGAAATTGAATATATAATCATTTTGACGATGATGCGAGCTGAAGGAAGATCAGTGGCTCCATTTAGTATGATTTCTCATTCACATCACCTCTGATTACACCTGCCTAAGACAAGATATCCGCAATGTACATAACGTTTATTATATTTACTTGAGAAATGAGCTGCAAAAAAATAAAAAATGAAAAGCTGTGACAATCAAGTCCTCAAAGTGAAATGTTTCTGATGGATTATCCCATGATGGATAACTCCCTTTTCTCCAGCAGGTGGAAGGTGACAGGCGGTGTGCAGCCATGTCTCCTGGTTGTGGAGCATGTTTACACCTTCCACTGATACTCAACTCTGCTTACCAACAGTTGGAGCTCTGATATTCAGTTTTCCTGAATGTGTAAAATAAATAAGAGGGGGCGGAGATACAAGAAAGGGAGTCTATATGATTGGCACATATTTTAAAATCCTATTATTTTCAACTTAAGAATCTAACTTTATAAACACTGTAGCCTGACTGCTGCACAAATGAGCTGAAATGCTGCCGATGGCGTTTTCTGCATCTTCACAAATACAACTGTGTTACTACTCGAAAAGAGTGTGAGAGCGAGCTGACTGAGGCTGCATGGTGATGTAGGAGCAGACTATTAATTATAGCCACATGCCTGCAGGTGTATGTGAGGAAGCTAAAGGGGGGGGTCCTCCTGAAACCTAGTATTTCACTTCAATAAATTTGCAGGGCTCACATGAGACAGACAGAATAACCAAGTCACCCTGACTTTCCGTTTATGTTGGGCAAGCTTCAAAAACAGCAGCCTACAATTTCCACTATGGAGTAAGGGCACGGTCTCTGTCACACATATGTCAGTGAATGATGATCGCCTGCTGAGGTGAATGATGTAGCATCGCTTGCTGAATGTGAGCAGCACAGAATGTGACACGCAGAGACATCTGTTTTGCGGTCCGACGTACGTGAGGTTATGATTGTTGGACAAGTGAAGAACAGAGAAAGATACAAATTTTTATATGCAACATCATAAAGTCCCGGCTTGACACAGCTCATATCTGGGTCTCCTTCATCCTGACTCACAATGTAAACTTCAGTCAATAACAAGGATGCTGGTAGTAAGGGGTGCTTAGGGGGCTGCAGCATCCCTTTTGATGAGGGGCTGTAATAGCAAGGCAAAATAGTCAGATTATTTTTTATTTCATTTTAGAACATTCAGTGTATTACCTGTGTATAACCTGCACAAAAATAAAATGTGACAACCTCCACAACTTCTAATAAAGAATAAACCTGCATTCCATGTGTGAACTGCCCAAAACTAAATATGGTACAATGCTGCTTTGACATGCAGAAAGTTAGTATTCGCTCTGCTGCACTACACTTGATATGACATTATTGAAAAAAGTTTCTCTCAGCACCCACGACGCTCACTGACTTCCAGCGTCCCAGCCAATAACAGCGAAGTGGAGTCAACCACTCTAATGTAGTTGCCATGGTTTGAGGCTGTGAGGCCACAGGGAGCAATTGTTTTATTCGCTCCTTACTCGTGCAGAACAGAAGTGAACGGGAGGCCAAGGTTTGCCACTGCAACATTTGCATATGACCTCAGACATGGCCTCCACAAAAATACAGAGTAACTGCGGAATTCAGTGCGTGTCTGAAAGCAGCTTAAGTGTTAAGGCACTGACAGTCAAAAGAGCAACCCTGTGTACATAAAAAAAAAGTTGACCACTACTCTCAGGGAGCATCCTGTGGTGTGCACCACTAACAGTGAGCGGAAGTTCAGATTATGTTGCTGAGAAAACTTGCAAGAGCCAGGACTTTAAATTATTTTTGAGCTTTTATATTCGGTGCCAATTTAATTAATTCTGGAACTATGGTCCTGCACTTCATCCACAAACTCAACAACAAAGCATTTTTCTGAATTTGCTACCATTTTGATGTGAGACACCACATAGCTTTTCCTCCACAGTGGCCAAAGCTGGTGGCTATTTAAGTATTTAAAGCAATCCGCATACCACAAAAAACTCATCTCAAACAAAGGTGAATTCATTCAAATGATAAAAAGAAAAGAAAAGAAAACATAAAAATGCTATTATTATTGTTACATTACCCAAGTGGCTCCAGGTACACTGAGGATGTAATTAAGAGAAAAAGTTGAAATAGAAATTTACAGTCAGGTAGAAATACTTCCAAGAACCAGCAGCTGCTCTCACTTTGCAACTCTTATTAAACTCTGGCTCCCTGATAAAAGCAGACGTATTTCAAACTCCATGCCCAGTTTATAGCACAGGTTTAGACAGCTCCTCCACAGCCACATGCAGAAGACATTATGTAAGTGTTTTTACAGCAGGCTGAGTAGTACTCCTCGTGATGAGTTAACTGATCTTAATATATAAAATCAGCGCAGAGCCTCTTTTTACAGCAGAATCTCAAAGGACGACAATAAATCAAGCATCTCAGACTGTGCCGGAGTTCGCTCTGCTCAGGTAACTGAGCTTCTTAGACACTCTCAGCTCTGCTTATTGAATGGTAATGTGTGGTAATCTTATGGTAATGGGGACTGATACAATCCTAAAACCAAGAGTCCTTATCGGCTGAACGAGCCTATGCATTTAAGTGGGATTTTTCAGTACAGATGCATGCTCTCTTGCAGAGTCTGCCACATCTCTGCACATACTGTACTGCATCTACATCTGTCTCCTTGACGGATGTGCCTGCGAGTGCAACCCAGCAAATCCTCTGGGCATTACACAGGGGGAAAATATGGAGCACTGCCCAAAACTCTGCCCAAAGCACTCTCAGCATAATCAATATGTGCATATATAAAAAGTGGGTGAACAGCAAAAAAAAAATGTGAACAAAGGAGCAGCATGTATTCCCTAAGATAACAGCAGGCAAATATTAATAAAGTAAGTGACGCTTCATGACTGCCAAAGTTTTCAACTCGTCGACTCCGGACGTCATGACACCCGCTTTTAATTTGAGTGAGACAACCTATGATTGATTCTAAAATGATACATGAATTATCCTAATGTCATATTCTGAGTGTAGTCATAATAAAGTAAGCAGATGGTAGTTTTATGCAGAATAAAGCCTTTTGTTGACACTCTGTTTATTCCATCCAGTTAAAAGATTTTCTTGATATTTTTGTTAATTTATCTTCTAAGGAAATATTTGGGTTTTTTGATTTGTCACTTGGACCATCTGTTCTTTTTAATTATCTCATGTTCCTTATTTCATGTGCAAATGTGTTCGAACAGACATTTGGAAAAATCTCGCTTGCAGTTTCAAAAACAACACACTGTCGTCCAATAAGTGGCTCCTACAGACGAAGCATTTTTATGTGGCATGCACTGTATATCTTATTTCTCTATCGCAGGGATTTTTTTTTTCCTTCATGCACATTGCTTGCTTGTTCTTGTTTATAACAGACAGCCTGCGCCACTTTAAGATTCCTAGTCAGAGATACATATCGCAACTCATCATTCTTTTTGCTGAAGGAAGCAATGTTGCTGACATTGCCATGTTGCATTAGAGTCACACCAAGAAAACACGGGGACATAATCTAGGACATGCTGTCTGGAATCATCCGGAACGACTTCAGATAATCGACTCTGAGCCGCAGAATCCCTCCTCAGACGGGCCAAGGCTCTCAAACCAACAGGATCATAAACTCGCAACCCCTAACATTGAAAGATGCAAGCGGACCTCAACTCTCCGTACCAGCAGCAGTAGTGACGGATTTGGAACATACACCACAGCGTCCATCAGATATACTGAGGAATTATTTGGCATTAATACTGAAAATGACACAAAACAGGCGACGACTGATTAACCGCATTTTTGCTGTGACGTCAGTGAAACAGACCTCATTGCTTCAAATATGCAGTCAGCTGTGGCGAGAGACTGCAAACACTGCAGTGCAGAACGCTGCTTTATTTGTGTCAGCGAAATGAGCATCAGCGTGCTACCTTCGCCCTCATAACTCCTGCTGAGGTGCCCTTGAGCAAAAGAATTTGAAGCTACTCTGCGGTGGTGTTACCCAGCAGCCACCGCAGGCAGAGTGATTGCAATGGAACAAAGCGCTCTCCACGGTCTCCTCTCCACTCACCGCTCTTGCAGATGGGGCAGCACTGATCCGGCTCGTACTCCGGGTCCACGCACTCAGTCTGAGGGCAGGCGGCCACCGAACACAACACCTCTCCACTTGGCTCGCATCGGCACTTCTCACATGGAGACACCTGGATAACAGAGAAGAAAGAAGACAGAGAGCTATTAACATTGTCATGAACACAGTTCACAGATACACATATAACCACACACACACACTCATACACACACACACATACACAAGAACAGTCTTCTCCTCTTAATTAATTTCTTGCTATCTTTGTCCCTGGCTCTTTTGTTTGACTCGATGTCTGTCTCCTTCCACCTTTCTCTCTATAGCAGTCGCTACGCACACACATGGACACACACATGGACACACACAGACACACAAATGGACACAAAAAATAGTCTGGCCTGTCTGGCTTGTTTAAGACTGTGCATTCAATGTCACAGAACTACATCTATGGGGAAGTCTCATCCTTCTCACCTTCATTGACAATAAAAGGCTCATTTTAAGAAGAGCTCAGTTGGAAATTGAACCTCACTCATCTCACTATCTGGGGATATGGAGAAATCAATAGAAATGCGAAACAAAAGAGAGAAACTTCCAGTTTTCTTGTGCGTGAAGAGAAGTAAAAATTAATGACTTGGGTATCCACGTATATATATATATATATATATATATATATAAAAAAATAGAACTAAAATGGGACAAGTTAGAGCTGATGACATACATTTGGAATTACATCCCTGTGAAAGGCTTCATTTAGCAGCCAATTGTTTAAAACTGTGCAACTTTAGTCGTAACAAAGGTGCAAAGGTTAATTCTACCACCCTTGCCGTTAATAGCCAAGGCCTGCGCCTCCGCATGGCACTCCACTGTGAAAAATGGAGTGAGGCAGCACTTAGTACAATGCTCCAGAACATAGCAATCAAGCATAAAAACCCGCCTGTTGCTTAGTTTCAAAGAACCCCCTCCACACACACACACACGCACACACACACACACACACACACACCCCATGGCACAAAGGCTGACGTATGCCGCTTGTGAAAGTGGAGCTTTCTGTAGATTCGCCAGAGCAGAGACTTGACATAGAGCTGTCGGTAACACAGTGAGTCAGAGGAAGAAAACTCCACATTAGGCTTAACCCCCTCCTTAAAGAGATGATGATAAATGCTGCATCTCATAAGAGACGTAACACAGAGACTGTGGCGCAGTCCTGAGTCTGGCTTTTCAAAGACGCGACAGAAGATGAAACTCTGACAATGTTGCTGGTGCTTTCTCGGCATCTCCTCACAAACAGCCACGTGTGCCAGCGTGCTTTGCAGAGTTGTAACATTACTATAACTCTAATTCTATTCTGTGTATCAACAAACCGAAAATGAAAAGCACTCTGCTGAAGCTGCATTGCTAAAGTCAGCCTCTGGTGATATGCGTTGTGAGAGAAAAAAGACAAGTGCTGACCTTTGCCATAATAAATCCGCCTGCCTGCGTGCTTGCATGCTGTGAGGCAAGGTAACTAGTTTCTGTGTAGTGCCTGTGATAAACTCCATTGAATGGTAAGGAGTGTTCCGTCAGCACTTCTTTCAACTTTGAGTCAAAAAAATGAGTGAATGCAGTTAATGGACTCACCTTAAACTCTTCCAGTGAGGCGTAGATCTTGCCTCGGAACTCACAGTAGTTTTTTCTCTCCTTGCACTGTGGGCAGCACTGGCTAGTGTCCACTTTAATGCAGCGGGGATGAACCTTGGGACATTCTGGATTGGTGCACAGGGGGCCCTCATCTGTGCAGAGGCAAGGGCACGTCGAAGGGCCTGGCGTGAACTGCTCACCAATGGCGAACACGAAGCCGCTCTCATCCATGCAGCCTTTCCCTCTGTAGTCTGGGTAGGCGTACTCGTCAATAGCATCCAGGGAGAGTGTGACGTCACTGGTGGGACCCTCGTCTATTTGGTTCAGGTTGTCCTGTTCACTCCACAGCTCCTGGGACTTAGATCCTCGTGTCTGGACGTTGGGGTATGTGCTGGTGCGACTCATCGCAGTCTTGTTGGAGCTAAAATTATTGATTTCCCTCGGCCGCTGCTGAGCGCCATATCCCAGTGGCTCCTCCCGGGCCTGCTTGTCCTGATGCTTGTCCTCGTTGGCTCGGGTCAACACCCTTTCCAGACGTTCTCGGCTCACTGGTAAGGTCGCTATAGGATTACAATGAGTGCTGCTCATCAGGAACCCAAGAACAAAGAGAACTTCTGTTGTCATGGCAACGGAGTGCAGCATCTCTCCCCACCACCAGGCAGGTGGGAAAACACCTTGGATCACATAACACACTTCACATCTCAGGTGTGAGCCAGTCCATCTGGAAAGAGAAAATTAAACTGGGGTTATGTGCTCGGCGGTTTGTCACTTTCTATTCCAGGTGTGAGGTTTGTCTCATTTAGCCCTAGAACTCTGCAAGAAACTAAGCCGACCTCAGAGCACTGCTCATCATGTCGAACAAACATCCCGCTGAGTGTGACGCAAGCCTGGAGCATCAGAGAATTGGCTCATCAAGACAGGGAGTATTCATAGGGCTGTGTTAGGAAATCAATGCTGCTTATACTGTAACACTTTCCTGCATCAATCACATCCAGCAGTGATGGAGTATGAGGAAAAGAAGGCCAAAGAAGGACCGGAATCTAATGCTCTAATACTCCTGCTCCTCTCACAGAACAAAGAATCAGGATCAATGTCTGCATTTTTTAAACAAATCTATATTTGTTTTATTTTAAATATAATTCTAGTCAGAAGACACATTTAACCATAGCTGAGGAAAGTAGCCTCCTCAGTTTCAAAATGAAGATAAACCTGCTCCAGCGTTTACAAGACACCAAATACTGTATACACCTCAATCTTTTTTAAAAGTAGCCCTCTAAATTTCTAACTATTTTGATTTTAAAATCGCATCACTTTTTGTTCAGTCTTCAGCACTGTAAGAGTCAATGTTTAACAACTCATGTTGAGTGAAATCCCAGGATTGAGAGCAAACGTTGCAGAGGCTGTACATTTTCGAAAAGCTGTAGCCACTGTTTTTTATTTTTATCTCTTCCTCAAGTTGATTTTCTGCAGCATGTTGAAATTCAAATGCCTGTTACAACGCTTTGCTGCGTGCGGTGGCCTACTTCCTTTCATTTTCCCTCGTGCCAAACAGTCGGAGTCGCCGCCGAGCTCCGTTTAACGGGGCTGCGGACGTGTTGACATTTGTAGCTTATTATGAAAGGTGAGATTACACCGTATCGACTGACTCTCCAATTAACCGCAGAGACCTGTCTGCACTTGTTTAGGAATAATTCACCGTATTGATTCGTTTGTCAAACCCGATGAACACGGCTAATTGCCAACAGACCTATTAGGGGGGCTAAACAGGAGTTGAAGCGGCGAAGCATTAAGCAAACAGTAAGCAATCAAGACTGTATGTGGCAACACATGGACAGAGCAGAGATAATGTTGGGACAAACAGACGCATTCAATTTTTTCTGGCTCCACTCTGAAGCCTATGAAGTCTTTCCACATACTTTAAGTAATGCATTTTGATATTCATGAATTCTGATCCTTTCTGAGGGTAAAGGGCTGAAGTTGACTGCCGGCACGCCAGTGGTATTTGAGCGGTGTTTTAGCTGAATTGCTATGTTTGAGGCACAATCCTCGGAGCTGTTGTGGAACTGAAAGGAAGCAGAATGAGGTGCATACCGATAATGCTGCTGCAGCTGAGAGAGGGACATAGAGAGAGAGATATGGGACCAAGCCTCATTAGTAAAAAGGACCTCATTTGGCTTTTCTCAGCCTCACCTCTCCACCTTCACAGCAGTTACTAGCAGTCATACAGATACGCAGTCGGGCTGAGCTCCAGCTGACTCTGGCCGCTCGACAAGTCGCCACAAACTAGCCACAGTGTCACCAAGAGATCTATATTCTCTCATGGTCAACAGATCCAATGAAAAGATCATAACCAGCAAAAAATTATCATACTAAAAATATTGCTGTGTACCTAAAGCAGTTTCCTCTGTACCATAGAGCTCTGGTGTTGTCCTGAACAACAAAACACACACTGCGGATTAGTTTTAATCCAAATGTTTCAAATGTTTATCTGAGGTCAAAGGCAAAGGCAAATGTTGCTTACAATAATTGTGAGTTGGATTTGGATTACATTTAAACTGTAGTAATTACAGAATTATTAAAGCTTATGTTCAGAACTTACAGCACTTGGGTAAGACAATAAAAAGACAATAAAAAATGCTGGTCTGGTTTTATCCAGATATTTCTCATATATTCCTCTTCATCCAACCTTAAACAGCATATTCGTTGACCACACCTCACCTCAAACTGGTGTAAGAATCCTTCTACTTGAAAAAGCAATCCACCCCAACCAGTACAAAGCTGACACTTCTTTTCAATTCCAGACAAGAGTAAAAAGTGTGAACTTTATGAGGTCGAAAAATTAGAAGCACCTTATATTTTACTGTCCATTATCTCATAATGACCTTAGACACAAGCTTTGCTGTAAAATGTCTGCAGAGGGTTTAGATTTGTTGATGTAGACGGTTCCTGTTTACACACACAGTGTTTCACTTTTGTTGGATTTCACTGTTGTGTTAAATGATACCAACAGCTCAGGAAAGCTGTTTAAGCCACAGTCAAAGCCAATCTTATGTTTAATGTCTAAGGAGAAGGATTGGGCTCTCTGTCTACATTTTGGTGCTTGACACTGAATGTCTTACTTACTCACTACCATTGAAAAAGGCTTTTAAGAAGTATTAAAACTAGTTGTACTGCATTTAATGGAGCTACATTGGCTGTGCATCAAGAACTAGTTCACTCACCTAACAAGCTACTGTTGCTGCCTATGATTTAGCATATGTTATGAAAATAATAAGCCAAGCAGAGGATGCACTTATATATTAAAAAAATGTTATTTGACTATATCTTCTATATATTTTAGTCATGAATTTTATTGTTAATATCACAGATTCTTAGAAAGTGATAAGTTTGGCTGCCATGCAGAGGATGCAGTTTCATTGTATTTGTTTTTGTACATTATTTTACTGTTGCTTATACAGGGGAACATTAAATTTTTGTTTTAAACGACACAGTACGACATTAGTTTGCTTTATGGCAGTGTGTTGACCCTGTGTTGATGATGTCACACAGTCTGCGGTGAGGAAAAGAAGAAAAAAACTAAAACAGCACCGGGGAAAATAAAGTTGTGTAAGAGTGCATCACTAACTAGCTGTTAGCCAGCTGTAATAACTTGTTGATATTTGATTGCGTGCTAGGTGTTACTGAGCTCAGCTGAGCGGCATTTGTTTATATTTCATTCCTATCCACACAATAATAAGCACAGAAATAGACTTGCAATAGAAAGCCTTGCCTCCATTATTTCTCCACCTGACATGACACCATGCAGAGTCGAGGCGTCGCTAACAAGCCACTTACAGTGGTGTTCTATGGTGATGGTGAACTGTAAACACTCACTAAAGCACCCAAAGTGTACTAATCCATGGCTGAAAATAGTCCCCCTTCTGTTTACTTCTGTTTGAATGACTTCTGTTTAAAAGTGCAGCGCCCAGTTGTTTTATAAAAACACAGAGATGTTTTTGAAAATAGAAATGATCATACACTGTGACCTGTTTATAAAGTTTTACGTCTTCAGAAAGAACCAATGGGCTTGAAAAAGTATGAGAGTTTTTGGTTTTTGTCATCTTCAATATGAAAATATATGGAATAACAACCAGTTATAACTCATAACGATGTGAGGGTGGAAGTTGAGTTTATTCAGTTCATTTACTAAAAATGTTTTGACAATGTTTACAGTCAAGTTATTTACATATTTATGTATATTTTTGCATATTTTTTACATTGGCATCATAAGAACAGTTGTAACGATGTTTTGAATCTGCCTCTGTAGTTCACTCACATTTACGTTCATAGGCAGGAAGTGTGAGGTTGATGATCAGGTTTGGAGGACAGTAAAGTGCGTCTTAAGAAAGTTATTTGTCTCCATCCTGTTGTCTTTTCACATTAAGAATGATCCAACCACCCCATGTCCGACCCTCAGGTTACAACAACAAAAATCTCCACCACCTCTGATCTGCCAAATAAATAATTTACTGCATTCATTGCACCCTAGTGCCATCTTAGCATCTTAAATATAAATCATATCATTTATACATGTCTTAATTTTCAGCCACAGGGCGTATTATGTGTCAAATGTCATGCAATGTTACAGGCTAAACTGCTAAAATAAATAATTCCTATGCTAAACATTTTCAAGATACCTTATAAAACTCTTTCTTACCACTCTGGTTCAAGTGAAAAGCAAACTTTCTTGTATTTATAGTGTTACATATGAGCCATTTGGTGAAAGGTCATAGATTTATCTTTGCCCTACAGCTCTGCAGAGAATTCAATGTTTCTGTTTTTTTTTTTTTTTGCTTCACTGCTCTTACTTGAATACTTGCAAAGACATTCTGTCAGGAAAGAGAAAAAACAAACAAACTATGAACTGACGTCAAGATGCAATTCAGTGTCTTCTTACACATCTCTGACGCACTGGGTAAAAGCTTGTGCTATGGTCTGTTACCCAGACAAATTGTAAGCATTGATTTATGTGTAATGAGCAGGTAATTTGTGATAAACTGTGAGCACGGTTCTGTGAAGTCTCTTTGAGCATCTGAACCAAAGTGAGGATAAGCCACAGTTGCACTCATAAGCCCTGCACAGGTGTGACCTGATACAGCACCGTGCTCCCTACAGCCTTGTACCAACTAACTCTTGGCAGCCACCAATCGGCAGCATGCAAGAGTTTACATAAGCAAACATCACAGAGTTCATTCACACTTCTGATACATTTGAACACCCACTTCACAGCAGAAATGTTCATCTCTGTAAGTGGAAAAAACAACACTCAATTAACACTTGACAGCTCCAAATACATTTCTCTGGAAAACAAACAATAATTTATGCTGGAAAATTAGCTGTATGTTTTTGTTTCAAAGAACAGTCACCTTTTTTTCTCTTCTATTTCTCGCTGCTCACAGATACGCGATCATACAGTTTCCTTGTTGTTTGGCTGCAGTGACAGGTCTCTGCATGGTGCCAAACACTGAAGAGGTCCCAGCAATTACCAAGTGACTTAAAGTGCAGAAATAGCATGAAAGTGCGGCCAGGATGGTCAATTAAAAAAAGAAATATATATACAAGCCAAACGTTAAAAGGCAACACGGTGCAGTTTGTATTACACTGTATTGGGTTAGACCATATGTTTAGACACCTCCTGTGGTAAACAAGCATAATAATAACTTCTAAGCTTCACTGTTAAAATAAAATTTAATCTAATTTTATTTTGAAACTGATCTTTAATGACTACATCATGGTGCGAGCAGAGGCTGTGAGAAGTGAAGTCATGTGTAAACTGGCAAACAGGCTGGAAGTAAAATCTATGGGCCTGTACACATCTCCACTCATAACGTTACATTTTAACAATGGAGCTGTATGATAAGTTAAATGAGCAGTTTCATTTTCTACATCCTCTCGGGTTAGGGTTAGGGACCTCTGGCACTGCCGGGGGGTTCACTGGCAACTCAACAGCGGAGCAACAAGTCAATGCTTCAAGTGTGTTGGAACTTTAATAGGTTTGTTCAAAACAGGTACTGAGATATTAATATTTACCATGTCACCATAGGGTACATTTCTTTGCTTGTGGATGATTTCCAGCAAACAACATGAATATAGATGTATTTATGCACAGCCCATATCATTTATGAAATTAATAATCCATAATAAAATATAGAAATGTATCTGCCTGTATTTGATAATCTGGGACACTTAAAAATAACCTTGCATTATGCATGCCAAGCTCATTACCAATTTTTAAAAAGGAAGATTATGAAAAAGGACATTTATATTATTCATAGAAATGTCATAAAATAAATAAAAGTAATATTTTTTCATAAAGAACCCTAGCCTATAAATAAAAAAAATTCATTTAAAATAATCTATTATTATAATCAGGGTATCACTTAATTTCTTTAATTTAACTGCAAGAGAAAATAAGAATAACAGATTAGTACTGCTATGTTGAATTACTTGTGTACATATGTGTCGACCTGACATCTTTATCAGAGACAAAAGGCATTTCTATCTGTCAGTTTCTTGTACATATGGCAGGATTGACAATAAACTTGACTTTGAATGTGACTTTGATAGAAGCAAAAAATACCATTTTCAACTCAAAAACCTGCCATCAAAATATATCTACGTCTGTGTTAGTGTGGGGTTTTTTCAATAGGGATTCATATTTCTGCTGGGGAACACTAAGTAAGTAGGACATTTCAGTGTAAATGAGGTCAGTTGTACAAATTCTGGTGTTGGCACAAAAAGCTGACATCACATCAGGAGTGGTCAGACTGCAAATTTAACAAGACCGAACTTAACATACATTCATAACCTTTTCCTCTCCTTAGTGAATGTGACCTGCATGGCTTGATATTTTAATCCTGCACGCATTTTGTAATTATTACAAATTGTGCAACTGTGACAATGCAGCAGCAGGAAATTAGAGTTTTCTAATTTTAATACAATAATGTTGCAATGTGTTATTATGTCCCCCCACTAAAAGTGCAAATTTAAATGGTGTTGCACTGACATTTAAATGTTGCCCTGACCATAGAGCAATGAACTCAACATCAGCCTCTATGTTTGGCAGCAGCAGCCGGTTCAGACATTATCGTCACTGTAAAAATAAATCTGTCCATCAGAGGCCAGAGTTCTTTTTACATCTCCGGCTATTGACAACGGCCGGTCTGACCGCTGAAGTGCAGCAACCATGATTAATCAAGCAAGGATTCAACCTGGCTGTTAGTTCACGGTTCACTAATGCTTACCATCCCATTGATTTATGACTCATACATTATTGTCATTTTCATTTCCCAGCAGAGTGAATACAGCCCATAGGTCTTGACACAACAACCTGAGCTCAGAGGCACATTTTAGCTATAGCTTGACTTACAGTATGCAAATATTCATCCAGATTTAATTGGCAGACCGTCACTAGTACAAAATGTTGGTGGTTAAGATGTGTTGAGGTTGACCTGCCTCTCACTGTCATCTCTGATGTCACTCAGGAAGGTTTCTTCATGGGTGGTTGATAGCTGATTTGCTCGCACAATAATTCTATAAATAGGGCCAAATGTACTGAGGAAGCGCTCTCTTCTCCAGGAATTTTCCACACGCGAGCTAAGATGTTTTTCTCTGTTTGTTTCTAATTACTGGTCCTGATATGAAGGAGCAGCATTTCACAGAATAAATTGGCACATTTGCAAATTTGATCTGACAGAAAATGTCAGCTACAGAGGAAGCAATGCAGCAGCAGTGAGGTTCACAGCGTTCTCCTTGTTTTAATTTCTGTTTTAAGGCCGTACACAATGTAATGACTGTGAGCCTCCAAAACAAGCAAACATCACTCTCTCAGCTCGGTACATCTGTAAAAAAAACACCGGATGTCATTGAGAGGGAAACAATATCCTCCGGGCCAGAGAATAAAGTCAGACAGAAAACGTGCCCTCGCTGAGGTGTGCACTTTATTTATTGCACATTAGACATTCTCCCACTTTACACTAACATCCCAACATGCCATCGACGGCACATGGGGAGAAAGCAACCATTTACTTTGAGGTCTACTACAATTTATGACGAAGCAGATCATAGGGGGGATGAGATGTGAAATGTTTAGACAGTGCCGGCTAGTGGGCTTGGATCTGACAGGGATGAAGGAAGTATTGAATTAATGATGCCATGCTTTTAAAACTCATTTTTATACAGATAAACAGTGTGAAATGATGAAATCCAATTAGAGCAATAAGGGACACATAGGCAGGATCCAGAAGTATTAAGCCATCTGCCAGTGAGCAAAGATTGCTGCAGGGCTGTCTAATTGAATTTTATCCTCTGACTTTAAATCTTACGAGTGACCCAAATCAAAAGAAAGTTTGCCTAAACATGCGATGCAAAACCAACGGCCCTTGCAAAACTGTCATATAATCTTAGGATTATGTGCAGTGGAACAAGGTGAGAATTTGCTCATATGCAAAAGGCTTCCAGGAAGAGTGTGCAGCAGAAAATATGTTATAGAGAGAGTGTGAATCAGATTTTTATTTTATAAAAGATTTTAAAAAAAACATGATGATACTGCCTTTTGGACTTATCAAAGTATTGATATTTAATCAAGAAAAACTGTAAATAAATCCAACAACCACCCAAAAAACAAGCTGCTAGGCAAATATTTTCAAAATAGAGCCTGACTGTTGACTGTTTGCCTTGTCCTGAAGTGTGTAAGCAGCCAGAGTCTTTGTGCAGTCGCTGAAATCCCTCTGATGCCTCTGAGAACATGCTCAGTCCTATTTCCACCAACACAGCTGACACACTGTAAATACAACCTCTACAGGTGCCTTTTCCTGCAGGTTCCAACAATCAAGTGTTGTAGTTTCCCCTTATCAAGATCCTTTGCACATGCATGGATTCAGTGACAGATGCATTATGGTTTGTAGCTGCAGGCTTTACTGTAACCCTCAGAGAGGGATCTCTCCCTGAGACTCCGATATGAAACACTGGGCAGCTCTCTCCCAAAGTTGATGTGAAACCTGTGCATTCAAGCAGTTTAGTCCGATGTGCATGAAATATGCAAACACACACGTATATCATTATTCACCTGTGATCCTCGGGAGTGCGTCCGCCTCCGTCAGGGCGCTGGGTTGGAGCCCAGTCTTCGGACTGCTGGACACAACAAATGATGTGTGGAGAGGAGATGGGAAGTGACGCTCGTTAAGCCAGCCAAATGCACTGTTTCCCAGGAGGACGCTCGCAGGTCCGTCAGCGCGACGCGCACAACTTTGATCGGCGCAGGGGCTGAGAGGGTGAGGGAGCGAGTGAGGAGGGCGACGATCCACCCGCCGCCTGTGTGAGCAAGAGCCGCGCTGCTGCTGCTGATGCCCCTGCGCTCTGCTGGCACTTTATTTCTCACGGTGGCAGAAAAAAATTATTAAATATATGGACGGGGAGGGAGGAGAGGGGAGTGGGGGGAGTGAGCAGGGGGAGAGAGAGAATGAGAATGAGAGAGAGAGAGAGAGAGAGTGGTGAGTCACATTCAGCCGAGGGACCACTAGATGGAGCACTTCGAAATGACCGAGGAACAACAGGCAGGCAATTAACCCAATGATGTTTCACAGGTCGCCTCTCTCTCTCTCTCACACACTCACACACATCTCTTTATAGTTGTAAGGACACTCATTGACACAATCTCTAACCCTAACCTTAACCTTCTTCTAACTGACTCTAGCTCTAAAACCAAGTCCTAATCCTCAAACAGCGCATTGACTTTGAGAGGACCAGACAAAATGTCCTCACAACACCCAAATGTCCTCACACTGATGGTTTGCACCAAAATTGGCCCTCTAAACTATAAAAAGACATGCACGCTACACACACACTACACACACACACTACACACACACACACAGTAACATGAGAAATTGTCACCTCCAAGTCTGAACATGTCTCCCACAGCATCCCATATATCTTCCTCACCTTGCATCACCCCATTCTAACAGCACATCAATGAATGGTTAGAATCGCTGCCAGCCTCTATGTTACATGTGTTTGCATCCTATTGGATAGTTCAGCCTAAATACATTCCTAAACCACAGTGTGTCCTTACGTCTTGTCACTGGTGAAATACGCCAAAGAGTTGAAGTTGGTGAGAGCTGAAGTCGGTGCCTCTCTGTCTGGAGCATCTGAGATATGAAAGTCCCTAAGCGTAGACATTACACTGTACTGTTGGTTGGTCCTTTATCTATAACCTGACCTTGGGTACTGCTTAGAGAGAAAAGGGAGGATCTGTGGAATTAGCCAGGCATTCTTCTCTTGAACATAATACAGCGTATAGTGGCATACGCAGTAATGTGTGAGGATAGTCAAAAATTCCTCAACACATAGTATATATATAATGTGTATATATATATATAAATTATAATATGTATATAATATATATTCACATATACACACTTGCTCAGTTGTCCTTACTATGACTACATTGCATTGACTTTTATTCATTAACTGAGCTAAACTCCTTATCCCTATAACCTTAACCATGACCAATTCATGCCTAACCCTTAACCTGACCGCTATTCACATCTTAACACTAACCAGCACCTCAGACATGATATTTGTCCTCATTATGAGCAGGCTTTGGTCTCCTGAAGGTGTACTGGTGAGTGTTAATGCTGGAGAAGGTCCTTTACAGAGGTAACAAAAACGAGTACACACACACAGACACGCACACTCACACGCACGCACTCACACACACGCACACATGTGATTAACTACTTTACTTCATTATCTGGAATTAGAGAGTGGTTTCTGTGTCACAGTTTGGTCCCTGGTTAATTTGTTGCTGAATGAGAAAAGACCACAGCACATTAAACGAGCAGGGAATTAGACATGTAGATAACTGTCAGTGTTAATGCCTGAATTATATAGGTACATCATTTATTAGTGTGCAGGGCCCACGCTAAGATTTTAGAAACACTGGGGTCCCCCCCACACACACACACACGCACACACACACACACACATGCATGCACACACATATGCATGCACCCATACACACACACGCACACATTTATGAAGATGAAGGTTAAAATCCCATTTTGAAGCTGCTTCACCAGGAGCAACATTCTTGCATTCATGTATTATTATTTACTAATGTATTTATTAATACTAAATAAAAAAAGAATATTTGAATCAGCTTGTAAAGTGTGTGTTGTTAAATGCGGTAGCGAGAAATAACAACATGCATGTTCGTACAGAGTACAGGTATTTGTACTTTATGTAGCATGTAGGCTAATATTTAGCCAGTTCAGCAGTTTAGCCTGTCAAAATGCTAAAAGATGAGCCATAAGCACAAAGTAAAGCTGAGGTTGATGCCATGATGAAATGACTTTAGTTGTTTTCAATAACTTTTAAAACAAAAGGCGCTTCCACACAACTTTTAGGTAACTCATAAGTTAACAATTAGTTTACAATAACAGGTGTGAGATGGGCCTCACACCACGGTCCTGACCAACGGACCATAAGAGGTGATCTCGGCCGAGAGCAAACAGAGCAATGGATCGGATCGTTAGTTCTGATTTCAGACCAATGGCAGGAAGTTGAGAAAGCATTCAACAATGGAAGAAGAAAAAGAAGTGTATGATTACTTGTAGTCATCACCTCAGACTGTATTATGTTAGAAAAAAAGTACTTTTTCCGTTTGAATGGAGAAAACTAATGAACCGGTTCACATTCATTAGTTGCCCAACGTCTTTTTTTTGCTTATGAATGAAATTTACAATTTACGAAGTTGATGTTTGCTGGCAGTAAAACCATAATGACATTACAGTGGCCATGGAATTAATGAAGTGAACCGGTTCATTCATTTTCTCCATTCAAATGGAAAAAGTACTTTTTTAACTGCAATTTATTCAAAAAAATTAGCATATACAATAGCTGTATATACACACTGGCACTGACACCAACTACAAACCAATCAATGTTGAATATAGGTGACGACAGGTGGTATGTATGTTTTACAAAAGTTGTTCGTCTGCTCCCTCAATTAGAATGTGAAACCAAAACTGACCAGCTGAACCTTGGTCCAGTCTTTCAGGTGTGAAAACTGCCTTTAAGTGTTAAAACATACAGAAAGTGATGCTAACAAAATAACCTCAGTGTGTTTAAGTGTCCTAGCCTGGATACTCAGGCCTGGAACTATGTCTCCACAACTATTCACTAT